CCCCCCCCAAATATTCTACTGCTTTAAGCTGCTTTGCTTTCAAGTGGCATGAATACTGTAGCTAATGATACAGATATCTTCCTAGAAGCCTTAACATTAGTTCTGGTTTTGCTGGTACTCTGGTGTGGGAGAGGCATCGTACATGGTCCCTTAGAGTTCCTCAAATTGTTTTCTCAGATTTTTTTTTTTTTTCTTATGAACCTATTGGTATCTGAATGTGTAACAGCATTCTGCATCAAAACACATCCAACAGGCAGTAGCATATTACAGGAAGTAAACAGAAACAAAGCTTTCATGCAGTAAATGAATTAGGTGGACTATGACACAGCATGTCATCATTTTATTCCTGAAAAAGTGCCAAGAGCAACTCTCAACAACCATACTTTAAGTACAAAGTGAGTGGAAGAGCTTTGCTTAAATGTGTTCCTTCATTGTGATACAATCTCCTCATATGTGCGTGAAAGGGGAAGAAAGGTGTGAGTACCCAAACTTCTCCTGGGTTTGTGAAATTCGTTCTTCAGTACTTGAACCATTTATAGCATTTAATAGTCCAACACTACTTTGTTATCTGCAGTTACCAGGATGCAAAAGACAAACTGGCAAAAACAAGACTGCTGGCTCCAGCTTACTTTATACTGGGTGGAAAAAATTCTGGAGAAGGGTGTGTGATAACTCGTTCCAGGACAGCTAGTCTGGATATCTGGGAGTGAGTATGCTTGACCTGACCCTCCAGAAGAGGACAGGTTCCACCAATAATTGTGTCCTATGTTTCTTGTGACTTCTGTTGTGCAAGAACTCGCTTCTTTAGCATCATTGAAAAATACCACAGCAAGCCTAAAAAAAATCCGGCTGTGTGTAATATATACTATATATGTACTTAACTACATACTTCGAGAAGAAAAACACAAACATATACCTCTTTTCCAGCCTTGATATCAAGAAAGGCACATGGTACGTGTTAGAAACAAACTACGATCGCTGGAAGCCTCCGCTAATCTTGGATAATCGTAGAACACCTGCAATGAAATGCCTGAACCAGACAATGCAAGAGGTAGACATCCTCTGAATACCTCATCTTGCTGTTGGGAAACTCCAAAACTGACCTGACGCAGCCAGGAGGATTCAGGGCATTTGCAAGCACAGCTGTAATGACAGAAGTGGCTAACGGTTTTGTGACAATTTGTCTGTGCTGCTGGGTAATAAAGTACCAGCTGGCTCTTTACACAAATGGTTTTTAGTTTTAGGCTTTCTCTTCATCTAGGTAGGTTTCCTGCAAGCATTTTCTGTGGCTGCATATGCAGGGGGATAATCTGGAGATACTTTGAGAGAGATTTTCAGTGTTTCCTGTGCTGTTTTGGCACCAGTGAAATTCAAACGCTTGCTGTGTCAAACACACTCAAGTGTCCTATGGTGTACTGAGATCCAGTCTGCTTGAGTTTTTGCAACCCATATTCTTCTGATCTCAAGATGTATGGGTATCATGTACTCTTAAAGCTTTATCTTATTATCTGAGCAGTAAAAAAGTTACAGTTCTCAGCACTTACACTAACAGGTTAATGTCCGTTAACATCAATGTCTTTATTTTCTTTCAGAACATCTCCTTACCAACAATTTATGATGTTCTCTCCACAAAGCCTGTCCTCAATAAGGTAATGCTTCTATTTTTGCAGAAAGTTTGGGTTGGGGGGCAGACCACTAACTACTATACATCTAAGGAGGAGGTCACAGTGGGGTTTTTTTAGGTGAAAACATGCACATAAAAACGAAATAAATTCCACATGACTTCATAAAAGCAAAATGTAATTTCTGGAATAGCTGTCTTCCAAAGGCCCTACAGCTTTAAAACTCCGAGTAGCCTGAGCCCTTTCCTCGTAGCTGGCTCTGGTTTGAGGCATCTTAAGGACCCTCCTAACCTGAATTAACCTGTGATACATGCCTTTATAAGCAGCATGAAACAAGTTAATATACCTCATGGTTTAGGCATACTACAGGCACATTGTTCTTGCAGAAAAAGATGTTTTAGTCTGAACTTGAGGGTTTTGGTGTTTAGGAAATAAAAAAAAAGACTAAAGGGCTGAGAAGAGTTTTTGAATTATAAAGTTCAGTTACTATATTAAGTGGAGGCAGCATTCTTGGCTGAAGACACAAACTATTCATACTTGGATGTTGCTGACTAAATAAGATAAATGCTCATTTTAGTTGAAATGTTCAGCTAGTATCAGAGACAGTTTTTCACTAATTGCTGTAATGAGGCTTTTTTTTTTTCCCTTCTTCCTTCTTCTTTCTCCCACCTGCCTGTTAGCTGACTGTGTGCACAACGCTGATGGAGGTATATAACGGTCATACAGAGACTTACCTGCGGGAATGCCCAGATCCCTGTAGTCCTTGGTAGTCCTGTACCTTTCCAATGTTGGAAGCTGCTTGTCTGAATTGGAGGTCCTCCAAGAAGAAATACTTCTGGAAATAGATTCCTCAGTCTAACTCCTTTCTTCAGAAATCTAATGGCTATATAGAAACGTCAATGAGCTTCTAACAGTGGAGGACCCTATCTCACAGCAGACTTTCTTGCTTTCTGATCAGCGGTTCTGCTGACAAGAAATGTATACTAATGAATGTCTGGTTTGATTTCAGCCATTTCTGCCAAACGAGTTCAGCAATTAGCTCTAGATCTCCTCAGCCTTGACAGTATTCTTGGTTTGGTTTGTTGTTGGTTCGTGGGTTTGTTATTTCTTGTTGTTTGGTTGGGTGTTTTTTAGATGAAAATACTTCTAAAACACACATAAGTTAAAATGGCATCTGTCAACAATGAAAAAGAATTGGGTATAAGAAGGCCATCTGGGACAGTACAGTTCTGTTATTCTTTCTTAAGCACTTAAGATGAATTGCTAGTGTTCTGGTCCAATATGAGGTTATGTCTAAGATGCCCTGTTATAAAATAATTTACCAAGTGTGATATCTAGTCACAGAAACAAGGTCTTGGGGAAATATCTAAAATGAGATCTGAGCCAAAAAATGTCTTTTCGCTGATATATAGATCTTTTGCTGAAGCTTGCTCTTGGCCTGTTAACAAATTTTTTTTTAACACAGATTTTTCTGTTGTCTCAAAAAAATACTAATACAATAAATATTCTTGAGAACATCTTTCTTTGACCAAAGTACACATGCACTGATTTCATACCTCAGTGGAAGTCACCATGCATGTTACATATCACATGGCAGAAAGGGCATTCACTTCCAAATAGACTGATTTTAACAGTGTCTGAAAAACTGATTTATTTCTTAAACTGACAGTTAAAGCTATTACCAGAATGGGAAGTAGGCAGCTGCTAGTAGTGGCTGGGTTGTTTGGGGGGATTTTGTTTAGTTGGTTTGGTTTTGGAAAGTGGGGGAGGGAAGCCAAGTCAGACTATACCATTGGCTGGAATTAAAATTCAGAAAGTAAAGGTCCTTTAGAAATAGGAAGAAGTACAGGCACCCTAATATCCTAGGAAGCAGATAATATAGAAGGCACTAGTTTTATCTATGTCAGTGGCTGCATTGCTGGGACTAGTTTCCAGTGCCAACTCTTGTGTTTTATAACACGCAAAGAGAAGACACTGGAGAGTAAGCTTAGGGGCTGATATATATGGTGGTTCAATTGTTTTTCTTTTCTTAACCGCCCAAGGAAAGAGGTCGTATTAATATTCCCATTGAGCCATGAATTTAAAGTTGCCACTGGTGTAAGGGGCGTGTTTGCTGTCCCTTTGGTGTCTTGCAGAGATGGTATTGCATAAGGCATTCCAACTAAAACCTGCAAGTTCATGACATCCAGTCACAATGGGATTCTTGATAGGCAGGACATGCAGAACAGTATTACTGTAGTGCAGAAGTTCAGAACAGAGGATACTACAGTTTTCTGTTCCAAACAGTAAAGGCTACTATAAGATTATTTTTTTTTAATAGTTGCAAATTTAACACTAAGAAGCTTAAAGAAGGGGAGACAAGTTATTGCCCATGAATCTGAAATGCAAAGTCAACTTTCATCCAAGTATGACTTGCCAAGTTTTATTTAGTATTGCTTCCTTTTCTAAAAGAAATATTAAAATTTCTCCAAGGCTTTCAGTACAGTTTCCCACAGCCTCCTACTAGAGAAACTGATGGGTTACTGACTAGACCAGTGGTCTGTGTGGTGGGTGGGAAACTGGCTGACACGCCACACCCAGGGGGTGCTGGTAAATAGCTCCTTTTCAAACTGGCAACCTGTCACAAGCTGGGTCCCCCAGGGATCGATATTGGGCCCAGCGCTGTTTAATATCTTCATAAGGGATCTGGATGATGGGATCAAGCATACGCTGATGAAGTTTGCAAATGATACCAAACTGAGTGGGGAAGTGGACACTCGGAAGGGAGAGGCACCCTGCAGGGAAGACCTGGGTAGGCAGGAAGAGTGGGCTGACAAGAACCTTATGAAGTTCAACAAAGACAAGTGTAAGGTCTTGCACCTGGGAAAACAATCCAGGAGTGCAGCACAGGCTGGCATCTACCCAGCTGGGGACCAGCTCTGTGGAAAGGGGTCTGGGGGTTCTGGTGGACAACAGGCTCCATATGAGTGAACAGTGTGCTGCTGCGGCCATGAAACCCAACAGGATGCAGATTGCATCAACAAGGGCATCACCAGCAGAGATAAAGGAGTCATTAGCCCACTCTACTCAGCGCTGGTCAGGCCACATCTGGAATACTGTGTTCAGTTTTGGTCCCTGCTACACAAGAAAGATGTGGACAGGCTGGAGAGGGTCCAGAGAAGGCCACAAAGATGATCAAAGGCCTGGGAAGCCTGCTGTATGAGGAAAGGCTGAGAGCACTGGGCTTGTTCAACCTTGAGAAAAGAAGGCTTAGGGGAGATTTTATCACCACATTCCAATATTTAAAGGGTGGCTACAAAGAAGATGGAGACTCTCTTTTTACAAGGAGTCACACAGAAAAGATGAGGGGTAATGGGTACAAATAACTGCTGGGGAGATTGCGTTTGGACACAAGAAAATTTATCAGAACAAGAACCACCAGCCATTGGCATAGTCTCCCCAGGGAAGTGGTGGATTTCCCAACATAGGACACTTTTAAGATTCAGCTGGACAGGGTGCTGGGCCACCTTGTCTAGACAGTGCTTTTGCCAAGAAAGGTTGGAACAGATGATCTTTGAGGTCCCTTCCAGCCTGGTATTCTATGACTAAAAGATAACCTTTAATCATCCCTTGTTTCAGTAACTACATTACCAGCTTACAGCAAACTCTGTTCTTATTAGAGGCTCTCCCTCCATCAACACTGGAAGAAGCAGGGACAAAAGCAGTGCTACTTGCCAAATAGCTTTAGCAGCTGATAAAGAAACATGGCTTCTGGTTGAAAAAAACGAAGCACTGATATTCTAGGCCATAGAACAATGCTTATAGTAGCACAGCAAGAAGCAATTCAAAGGGGTGTAAAGCACTGACAGATCGAGAGCATGCAGAAATCAGCATCCCGCTATTTAAACTGATGCTAAAAAAAAATGGCTAGTCCAGTTGTACATCTGATTTTTTTTTTAACTAAAGTATGCAGGCAGAAGCATGTTAGCATGATTGTACTACCAGAGTCCATTTTAATCTCAGTCATGAGTACTGAACACATGTAAACCAAAATCAACATAGCAGCATGATTTAGATTAGGGAAAAATGGATGTATAGTGTAAAATGCAGCTTCTGGGACATTCGATTCACATAAAATGGCTGAACCAAGTCAGATGTTACAGTCTGTACCCTGAAGAGCAATTCATATACTTCTGAGTTTGTACCTTAATCTGGTAGGGGGTTGTTCAGATTTATTTGGAATTAGTTGCGTAATAGCCATAATCAAATTACTTTGTCATTTAAAAATAAGTAAGTTTACTTCCTTAATTAGTCCTGTCCCACTTTAGCATATGTGGAGCAAGGCAGTGTAGTCTATTTACAGTCATTAACTAACGAGCTTTAGGTATGTACCTTGTGCAAGACAATCCACATTTCCACACTGGAAATTGCTTTACAATTGCAAAAGCTCAGCTAAATCCCTTGGATGTCTGTCCAGAGCCTGAATGCCTATGCCTGCTATTGACTTAAATAAACAAAGCTATTGAAAAACAAAAACCCCAACAACTGTCTTACTGTGTCTGTCTTAATATAGAAAAAGTGATGAATGTGATTGCTTATTGATTTAACCTTCATCTGTCAACTCCGAAAGCACTTGTTCTGAAGGTTTTCTCAAGCCTGACAAAAAGTTCAATTTGCTCTTGTTACAGATAGAGACATCTATTTTTAGCATCAGTTTACTGCCTCCCCCCTGCTTCTGCTGCCCTAGGCACTGTAATGGAAGATAAGACCATTTCACTGAAGAAACATATACAACTACTTGCAACTTTGGAATTTAATGCACCTGCTTTTTTTGGTTTTTTTAAACAGAAAGACACAAGGAATGAAAAGAGGTATGTTTCTTCATATTCATTTGCTGTACATGTAGTTGAGGTACCTCACAACCACTGAGAGGGCAGTCTGATTTTTATTTTTTTTAGGTTTGTTTTTCCCCCAGGTCAAGTAAGCAACCGTATGTATTTTCTCTTTTAAGTTTAAATAAGAGGCTCACATAGCTTTCCCAGTTCTGTTGTGAAAAATCATCAAATGGTTGCAAAAAAAGAAAAATTAAAAAAATGTGAGCAACAAGACAAACATTTATTATTAGTGCATAGTCTAGTTCTATGAGGAGCAGCCTCAGTATTTTAGCTTCCAGCAGATTTTAACTGTTAATGTAAATACAAAGAGTTAATCCAGTTTATTCTGAACTTAATTAAATAAGGCATTACAGGAAAGACAAAGCATTTGTTTGGGCACTGACATTTAAATGCAAAAAATGTCAGTTTGCCAAGAAAATTTTATACCTCTACAATTCAAGAAACCCATGCAGTGAAGCCCCATACCATTTCAGAGGAAGAAAGAATGGCATCTCCCATGTCAAAAAGCAAAATGTTGGCAGCTAGCGAGGACAGGAGAATCCAGGAAAGGAATTTGATTGTAACAAAAGCAAGCAGTAGTTCTGGGACACGTATGCGAGTGAGTTTGCATTAGAGTCAGTTACAAGTTAAGGCTTTGCTTTGAAGCGAAACTCCAGAGCAAAACCCACAGATGTCCTGGAAATTATCTGCAAGGAAAGCAGCAAGAGTAAAGAGAAGACTTGAGCTGGAGCAAGCAGGCATGATGGAGAGTGGACTGACAGGGAGCAACTGAGAGCCTTAGGCAGGCGCCACAACTAACAACAAAATACCCCTCCCTCCCAGGACAAACACCTGTCCCACCTTCACACAGCCAGCCCTTTGGGCTACAGGTGGAAGGAGAAAGAAATGCGAACAGAAGGCTCAAAAGCTTGGATTTCACCTTAGTGGCAACAGCTGGCAAATGACCTGCTTATGCCACAGATCATCAGATGGACTTTCCTGCTTTTGGAGGACCAAAAGTGTTGGTGAGAAAGGCACACCCAAGCTCACCAAGCAGCAAAACTTCTCATCCTTTGCACCAGAAGAACAAGATGAGCCAGAAAGAATAATGCTCAAGGAAAGCAGTGGCAGAAACCACAATTTGCCTTGGGAAGAAAACTCCAGATATTTATGCTTTTTATAAGAAGCTGCCTTTGACTGTTGAAAGAGTCTGAAACGCAACATACTGATTGGCCAAATACTGGTATCAAGTAGCAAGCAGATGATGTGGTTGTTCCCTCTAAGTCTGCCTACCCGTTTTTCAGAGCATCATAACTTGAGGTATCAAAGATTTTAAAGGCCTTTTATAGCTAAGTCTGCTCCCACACTCTGTTACTTAGAAGAGAGGACAATAATTATAAAGGAGTTAGTGTGTTTACATACCAAGAAGCACTGTACTCAGGACGTTTTCTGACCTACAGTGAATCAGCTCTGAATTATATTAATTGTATATGGGACAACCTCTCTCGGTCTAATTTGTTTTACAAAGTTTGTTCTCCTAGCTCAAGGGTTATGTGCAAGCAATAGGATAATCCCAGCAGTGAGGCTGCCTCTGTTGGATATTCTGTATTTGAGGTAACTCCAGTCATAAGGCTTGCTTAAGGTTTTCCACTATTAGTCTTGTCTTTCTTATGATCTTGCTAAGCTTTCTCTATTAGGCAGATACCCATCGTACAAAAAAATTCATCCGTAGACTTTTCCCTCTTTATATTTCAGTGAAAATGGTTCATTTTGTTAAGAAAAATAATATTTTTTTTGTCTGTAGTAAAAAAAAAAAAGATCACAAGCATTGGGTTGTAGCTAAGTGCTGAAGTGCCATCTTGTTTTTAGAGCAGAACTTTAATTCAAGTACCTGGACAGGTTTGGATTAGACATAGCTTTTTCTCAGGCTACACCCACCAACTGAATTACACCAGTATTTAAACCTTTATGTAGTTACATATAATTTGCATCAACTTAGTTCCCCAAATGCTACATCTGCATTCCTGTAAGAGGTGTACATGCACCATCTCCTGAGAGCTGGAAACAGTTCTCTTAAGATAGCCATGTCCAGCTGCAGAAGGTATCCCTTCTGCATGAACCATGTGGGAAAAGAAGTAGAAGCAACTAGATGAAGAGGGGAAAACATGAAAAAGAAAAAAAAAAAAAAAAGAGAGATGAGCAGGAGCCAGGGGGTCTGGAGATGTCAGAGGAAAGAGAAGTAAAATAGAACAGGAAGACAGCTGAGAATGGCAGGCTATGAAGATCTAGCAACTGCAGTATACTCCTCCACTGACCCCATTAATTCCTAAATTAATCATGCCATTGCTGTCATCTGAAACCCCAACCAAACTGTGCCTCCCCACCCACAGCAGCCTATGTGGTTAATAGCTGCTGTTACCACATTTTTTCAAATTATGCTGAGACAGTAGATCTAAACTGATCCTCTAAGAAAAGAATATTGAAATTAAAAATACATATTATCCCAAGCAACCATTCTTTAGATTTAAAACCAAGATAAATTACATTAAAAGTATACTAAGGCTGTGAAGCGTACAAGCTTAGCAGCCACTCATTCCCCTTCCTTCTTGGACGGGATACAGTCTCTTTGTATGATCCCAAAATTCCTTTTACAGAGATCCCTTGTTTCACTCACTGCACAGGACAGGCTGCGTTCTTGTGATGAATGAGGATGGCATGATAAAGCAGAAAGGCTTCTGCTTTGTTCCAGCTTTCAAGACAGTAAATAAGATAAAGCTGTGCGAGAGAAAGGATGGTGTTACAGACCAAGTACATCTAAGTACCTACTGGGACAACTGAATTCTCACCCCATTTCTGCCAGGTGCTGCACAGGCAACCCAGTAGGTTGTGTTTGGCCAGTACCCAGTCTGTGATACCAGTGGTTGTATTTTGGAAATACTGATCACAACAGCAGTCAAGACAGAGGGAGCTATGCTGCAATCA